GGCCAAACGCACCGCCTACCTTAGAGACAGCTCACTTCTCATTTCCTGCACAGCTCTTTTACCTTCCAGGCATTTGTGTGAGTTCCCTTGAACATGGTCCCCTGTGAGGCCAGAGGTATACCGCCAGCCCTCACATGCAGTCCTCCTCAACAGTGGCCCAGGCAGTACACGCGACGAACATCAGTTGCTCGGCATGACAGATGAAAACTCAGAAGTTGGTATGGTCTGAATTATGTCCTGTCCCCAAAACGTGCTAACTCCCCAATGGCAGAATTCAGCTGTATCTTCAGAAAGAGTTTTTCTAGAAGTAATTCAGTTAAAATGAGGTCACAAGGGCAGGCTCTAATCCAATGAGACTGGTGTTCTCATAAGTGGAGATCTGGGTCTACAGACAGACACAGAGGGAAGACCGCAGGAAGCCACTCGGGGAACTTGGCCACCTACACAGCAAGGAAAGGCAGGGAACAGATGCCCCCTCACCACCTCAGAAAGAAGCAATGCTGCCAACACTACAATCTCAGGCTCTGTATGTATGGCTCTGTATGTAGGTGTGTAGCTTGTTTTTTATACTTACTAGAGAGCTAAGGTCTCAAAGAAGTTTAGAGGAAGAGGAACCAAGAACTGTACAAAGACCAGCGGCCACGTTCATCCCTGGGCACAGGTGAAACAAGGAACTGATCGTCTACTCGTGGTTGTGGGCTGGGTGATGGAGCAGACCTAGAAGACAGGGGTTGTAACTCTATCTCACCAGACTCACCGCGTGTGTGGTGGCCTGCAGGAAGTCAAGACCAGGATGGAAGGCAGAGCAGTGCTCTAGTCACTTGCGGACTGGGTCTTGTGCTCTCCAGCAGCAGCAATTGGATCCTGCCTATGACATCTGAAAGCAGTGAACTGCAATCCGAGCCAACCCTCCCCAAGTCCCCACTGAATTGGAGAGCTTCGCCCTCCAGCCTACCAGCCTCCCTGTCACCTCGAGAGGCGGCAGCTGAGGACAAAGCCCTCACACAAGGAGAGGACTGGAGAGAAGCTGAACGCGGTGGACCCTTCCTGAAGTCCTGTCTCCTGCTCCACTCTCGATCCCGGTCACTCTTGACTCTCTGCATGTCGGTGACATCCCTAATGTTTCACCAGTTTGATTTCTGTCATCTCCAACCTGACAAATCTTAGCTGATGTAAAGCACAAGTCCTCACCAATGATGTATTTCCAAGCGTAAGCACATGATTATACAGACACGTTCTGGCATAAATTAGCAGTACACAGTTTTTGAATCATGCTATCCTCCAAATACTTGCTGAAATGACCTTTGTGATGCTATAAATGAACCACACACTACCACAAAGTAATAATTTTTAAAGCCAATCACAAGAGAATTAAAACTACAAAGCAAACATCAATATTTCACAGGCACCACTGTTTTGAACATATTCTTGTTCTACTGAACTCCCAGCAACACCAAACGTTTTAGTGCTCCTATTTTGAAAATGCCTTATGGCAAGTTACTCTTGCGTTTCACCCTACACTTCTATTAGCCATATACAACATCCACCACAGAAAAGACCAGATTCAAACTGGTACCCAAGGCCACGGAAGTGATGGCAGAACATTCTACATTGAATCTAGGGCCAGGGATATAGCTCAGTGGTACAGCGCCTGCCTGACAAGTGTGAGATCCTGAGTTCGATTCCCAGCAAAAAAAATAAATAAATTGAATCTAAATGGAGAAGGTAAAATAAGCAGAGAAGATAGAGAAAAAAGTTCTGATGTCAAAACAACCATTTAAATCTCAAGGGACATTTCAGCATTTCCAAAGTACCATTTTTTGTTATTGAGAATAGCCAAAAAAAAAAAAAAAAAGACCTTTCAAAAACTCACACTGTCACCAAGAAAGAAAAAAAAGTTTGCAGACTGAGTATTTTCACACTAAGTTCCAACCTGGAGTTTTGTTTTGTGAGTCAGTTTTTAAGGTCCTAAAAATAAAGAGCTAAAAGGAAATCGGATCAGCCTGTCCCCTTACAAGGAGCCTCCGACGTCTTCTAGGAATGCCACTGGTACCCAAGGAGGGATGCAGTTCCCACCAGGTAGCCTGAACTGTATCAGTCTTCCCCGCCCTGCCCAGACACAAAACAGCAGACAACCTGGCGGCTCCCCTGGTTCACCTCTCAGGTAAACAGGGGCTTCACAGGGGAGAGACAGTTGTCAGATTCCTCCTTGGCTACATGAGCCCGCAAGGCTATTCTGTCCTCCGTGGGGGTGATACAAGGTCAACAACAGGACACCCTGGAACAGCCACCATGCTCAGCCAGAAGAGCATGTTCCCATGGGAAAGCTGGAACTAATCTGATTAAGCTTTCTAGAAAACGTCAAGAATGTATGTTACTGGTGTCCCACTAATTTAATTTCCCCAATTTCTAAACTACCAAAATTTGAAAGCTAACCCAAACTAGAATGGACCTGAGTGTTTATTAGCTAGGCCTATTAAAAGGCCCAGTATCTTTCTCAACATAGCAGCAAAGTTTACTGCATATTTCACGCAAGGTGAAAAGGACCAAAAGAAAAATATATACCTCTCTTGGATTCTGTGTTCCTAGACTGTTTTATATGACCTTAATTACACATTAGCCAACAGCACCCCACAGCAAGTCCACGCGAGATTTTGAGGCAGGGAAGGAGAGATTCCTTTTGAGACAAATTGAGAAATTTCCTGCAGGGCTGCTCTTGTTTCAGCTTAGTTTCTGTCACGTTCACTCCACCCTGATGTTCATCTTATTTCCCTCATTGAAGGCTAAACAGTCTATCAAAAAAGTGCCCCGAAACTAATCTAAGGTACAAAAATGCAAACACAAGCACCATTTGTCATTTTGTCAGCAATTCTTGCTATCCCTCCCCTAAAGAGGATGGAAACAGGTCATTAGACAAACATTCCATTATCTCATCCCCAAGCACACACGGCTTCTAGTCACGAACGAGCAGCTGACAAGGGCTGGCTCCAGGGAAGAGTGAGAATAAAACACACGCGCCCCTGCTTCACCGTGCAGCCCGACTGGCAGCGTCTCACCTGAGAAAGCGCACTTCCCACTGCCACAGGCGCTACTACTCATGTTCAGTATGTCTTACTACAGTGGTTTCCAACACCAGCCAAACATTGCAACCACCTGGAAACCTTCTGCTGCGCCAGATGCCCGGTCTGCGCCCTAGACCAATGAAAGGGGTGGGTGCGCTGGAGTGGACAGCTGGCCATGAGCAGCTGTCAAAGGTTCCCCAGACCTGAGAACCACCGCCTTCAAGGGATCTCAGCACCTCTGGAGCAAAGCACTCAGGCCAGCTGCAGAAAACACACAGACAAGTGACTAACAGTCATTCACTGTAAAATAAAAATTTTTTAAAATATGCTCCAGAGACTGACCTAGATAAGGTGAATGGCTAATGTTAAAATAACACACTGACAGCAAGCCAACACTCACAACAAACAATCAGACTTACCCAAACTCCAGCTACCTATTAAAGGATATTTAGTTATTAGCAAGTTTATGCCACAGTCTGTCTTTTCAGTCACTAGGAATTTTATGCCATTGTCTGTCTTCCCTGTTTTTGTAAAGGTGCAGAAAGGAACAGAGGAAAACGCTAAAGGTTGGTAGAATGCTCTCTCCATTTATGACTCAAAGCTCCCCTGCGGCTTGACAACAGGTCTTTATCCACGACGATCACCTCCCAGCCCCCTGCCACAGCAGGAAAAGAAGTGTGACAACCAGCCGGGGCTGAGTAGGGCTGCAAGACACGTTTCCAAATCTCACAGTTCTTCTGAAGTGGAGTCACATCAGTTTATTTCCAAGGCCACTAGAATACTAACCCAAGACCTTGCATTTTTCATACAAGAGTAACTCTCAACTACAAAAGTATAACTCCCACAGGTCAGCTGGGGGTCCCATGATCTCCAGGCAGAAATCCCAGGCATAAACTGCATGCTATCTGTGAGAGGGGACAGCTGCAGGCAGACTGCTGCTGACCCAGCACCATGAAATGCTCCTAAACACCTGACTGATAACCCACAGGCTGCCCAAACAGAGGCACAGAATCTAAGAGCGCATGATTTCGCCTGAAGCTGCATATTAGGATCACCTTTAAGAATACAGACACCCAGGTCACACCCCAGACCAAGATCAGGATTATTAGGGACAGGCAAGCAAAGGGAATTTTTTTAAGCTGTGGTTCTCACACCTTAACACACACCAGAATCTGCAGGAGGGATATGAAGCTACAATGACTGCACCACCCACCCCCTGCAGGTCTGGCAAGGGGAGATACGCCTTCCTCACGCATTCCCAGGGAATGCCAGTGCTGCTGGCCCGGGGGCCACACTCTGAGAACCGCTGCTCCATCCGTCTCCTAGGCAACTCTAATGCATGCAACCAGGACTGAGGACCACTATGCTAGAGGAGCAAGTGCACTCTGGCCAGGGCGTCAGGCGATAATGTTCATCCCAGCTCTGCTACCAACATGGGGCTTAACAACAAATAAGTTGTTGAGATTTTTCAGGTGTGAACTTGATCCTAAAATAGAAAATTGAGGTGCAATGTGAACAAAATCCTGGGACCCTTACAGAAATAAGGTGACAACATTTTCAATGGCTGCCTCCCATGGAATGTATTCAGAAAAAGAAATAGCATGAGGCGCAAAAAGAGCTTTAAAATACACTCACATCCAAATAACTACAGTTCGGCCAACAATGGACCACATGGACACAACTGCTCCCGTAGATTGCATCACCTTATCAACTAGTGACGTCACAGCCATCTTAGTTTGTGTAAGCACTCCATCGTGTTCGCCCAAGGATGAAATCACCTAAGGAAACTTTTCTCAGAACATGTTCTTCCCAGTAGGCGACCCCTGATTGTATGGGGGAAGGCATGTCCTCATGCATACAGTTTCGGCGTGCTTGGGGCCACACTAAGGGACCAGCTGTGTGTGTGCCACATCGAGCCATCCTGTGGCCCGGACTCACCTGTCAGCACCTTGCAGAGCTGCCCAGGGACCTGGGTGTCGGCAGATGGGCTGGGTCTCAGGGACCATTTGCGCCTGATCAGATGCTCTCGTCCACTGAACGGGCCTCCGGAATTGTTGAGGGGTTGGATCAACACCAGCTCCTGCCCAAGCTGGATGAGGCCCACCTGCCCAGAAAGGAGAGGCAAACAGGCCATCAGCCACCCTCATTCACACCCACCCACGGCCCCAGCAGCCTGAGGGCAGCAAGGCTGCCTCTCTATGGCTTGGTTTGCTGTATCTAGGCCCCACCCTCCCCCATTTTTTTCCAGATTGCTCAGATTTACCGGTGCCTAAGACTGAGCCTTAAAGTTCACTGGTAGACTTAAAAATATCCCACTGACAATTGAGGTGGGGTTTTGGGAGGGGTGCCAAGACAGGGGTGGGGTGCAGAGATACATACAAAAGTATCCATTTCCCAAGTCTGCTTTTAGGAACGATGGGTTACTTTATTACCAATTTTTAAATGTTAAAAAATTACTATTAAACTCATCTTCCTAAACGGCCATTTCAGGAGGCAATCCCAAAATTGTTGTAAAGAAAATTATATCCCTAATAAGAAAAATCTATCTTAACCCTAGAAATACTTAAAATTAAACACAGTGACAAGGATGTCAGTTAGATGTGTAGTATTAAGCTTTTGCATAGCAAAAGAAATCACCAATAAAGTGAAAAGACAACCCACAAGGGTAGGAAAAATATCCAGCCAGTGGTCCCCTAGACAAAGGACTAGTATCTAGAACATACAAAGAACTGAAAAAAATTAGACCCCCCCCCATATTTAAAGACCCAATCCAAAAATGGGCATCTGAAATGAATACTTTTCAGATGAAGTAGAAACTACAATATATGAAAAAATGTTCAACATCATGGATCATTCAAGAGATGCAAATTAAAGCACTGAGATTTTATCTCACTCCAAAAAGAATGGCTATTATCAAGAAATCAACCAATAACTAATGCTAGGGGGTGGGCTGTGGGGAAAAAGAACCCTTCTCCACTACTGGTGAGAGTGATATATGTGCACCCATGTTTACAGCAGCACAAGTTGTAATAGCTAAATCTTGGACACAACCCAAATGCTCATCAACCAAGGAATGGATAAAAAAGATGTGGGTTTTTTTTTTAATGCAATGGAGTACTACTCAGCCATAAAGAAGGATAAACTTGAGATATTTCTAGGTAAATGGATGTACCTTGAGACCATATTCTTAAATGAAATAAATAGGACACTTGTATAAAAATTACATTGTTTCTCCAGTGTGAGAAACCAAAAGTATAAATAAGAACCAAAGTGTATAATAGTGCAAAATAGGAAGAAATTGTTCAAAAGAAATGGGAACTAAAGAGGGGGTAAGGGGAAGGAAGGAAGGGAAAAATAAATGATAAAAGGATAAAACATAAAAATAAAATGAATTTAATTGAAAAATAAGAAGTAAAAAAAATCATTTTGTGATGAGAATTTGCACATTTTTTCCCCAGAACTTATTGTACTTAGAAGAAATTGGCAGAATATCTAATGGATTAGATTTGTGATTCTAATTTAAAGGGCATCATTGATTCAGACTTGTAATTTTAAAACCTTACCAAGTTTATAAACAGTATTAGAATGTGTGGGACACATCAGGCCTTCTGATACTTATAAAAGCTTATAAAATGAAGCTATTAGGTTTATAAAAGTTACTTAAGTACTAGAGAAGGTTATGTTTTAATGGAGACAACCAGAAAACATGAAATTGAATGTTAAATTTCCTAAAGACAGTTTTCAATGTTTGAAACTGTGAAATTCCAAATTTATGAATGGGGCTAATTAGGATTCAAAATGCCCTTAAAAAGCACTTGCAAAATGCAGTAAATTATAAGACTACTAAATGAAATGAACAACTTAAAAACTGAGATTTGTAATTTGTCACTTTAATAGACTAAATATTAGTTCTGGAACAAAGTATAATAGAGAACTTTGCCCCTCCCTTGGAAGCAATGCTAACAGCATTAAATTAATTTCCCCTCCTTGCTCTGCTGCAAACTTCTCATCTTACATGGACTCAAGAAAACAAAGTAAACCCCACAGGAGAACTTGATTGGCCAGGACAGGGAGAGGACCCAGTCTGCACACTGGTCTGTACAGACACTGTCCCCTCTCCTGGACGATACCATGGACTGCCCCGACTAGCATGGATCCTGCAGACTGACAGGAGACCCGATTAGGAGGTCATGGATACCCTTTTATCTACCCCCATTATGTTGCAAAAGCCATGACATACCAAGCCAGTGGTCCTCGAGCCCAAGCATGCACCAGAATCACCATTGCTGGTGGGACACAACAAGAAGCATTCCTAGCAAGTCTCCCAAGTGATAAGACGCTGATCCATGGACCACTGTTGAAGAAAAACTGTTCTGGCACAGCATTCCAATTCTTCCAACCTCAAGGACTATACTGATCTGAATCAAGCTCAAGGAGATAGACCGCCTCTACTTTCACAAAGGGTGCACAGGTACCGAGCCTCCTGAAAAGTAAATCAAATCAACCCCCAGGATCACCTACAACCTGTAGTCCCCAAGATACAGGGTGAGGCCGTACTTAATGCTCCAAGCAGATTGCAAGGTTTCTGTCTCATTAGAACTTTTGCCAAAAACAACTCATAGATTTTACTGCCCAAATAAAACTGTCTCAGAGTGGCACTGCACGACCTGCAGGACAGTCCAGCTTCCTTCCCTCTCCTTTGAAGTGAAAACTTGAGTTTATTCACTGATACTTCGGAGGGGTTGTAGAGATCGAGGCAAAGTGGGGGAGGGGGATCAGAGCTCCCACCACAGCTGTGCATAAAGAAGCCGAAGTGCCAAACATTTAATATCAAGCAGGAGAAACGTCCATGGGCCAAATAAGCTGGGCAGGACAGGGGCTCCTGGTATCTGTGGGACAAACTCAACTCTAAGAGAACTGGACTCCTCCGGAAGCACCCTGGCTGTGGGAGGGCAAATCCAGTCCCCTCCCGAGTCTGGCGCTTTCAAAGCCTGTCACCCAATCAGCTTAGTCTTTGAATTCACAAAATCCTGTGCAAAAATCAGTGAGCTCTAATGTTATGAGATTTTGAGACAAAGAGGGCTCAGCTTGGTGAGAAATCCCACACACACATCCACGGAAGAATAACCAAGCTCGTCCTCGGGGAGCTTTTCTTTAGAATGCATTTTCTGGACGGTCCCTCAGACTGGTTTCCATCCATTCAGGCAAGAAGACAGCAACGCTGCTGAGATGGGTAAGGGCACACTGGGCTGTACTCCACCCTGCGCGGACCCTCTCGGGACCTGACCCTCAACAGAGACAGGGCCAGGACTTGTGCCCAGGAGGGAAGGGCTGCACCAGGCTCTCAGCTTGGGGGCCAGCACGTGGGACGGCCTCCCACCGTATCTCAGTCTTGCTGTCTTGGGGCTCCCTCAAGTGTCCCTAACACTCATCTTGTCCACACTTGAGGGATAAAATGTCCTGACGAAAAGTGTCACTTGTCCCAAAATATCTACACTTAGGCACCGAATGTTTTCAAGTGCGACTTGTGTCCCACACACATTCTTACCCCCAAACACTTGCCTGCCCTTCTTACCCCCTCTGACCTATCTTCCCCCAACAAAGCCCCCTTCCCTGCAGGACACTAACCTGTGTTAGCAGATACTTACAGGCCCTGATAGTTTGTTCTTTGGAAGCAGGATCAGAACCACCCCTCATTTTCCCACTGGCTGCTACAGCAGAGTTACTTGAAAAATGATGAATGGGCCAAGCTTCTCTGGCACAGGCTGACTGCACTGCCCCACTCCCCGTGGTTCTCATCGGCAGCTGCACGTTGCTATTGCTTGGGGATCTTTGCAGACCCCCACCCCATGCCCAGGCCTTGCTCCAGGCTGAATCAGATCCTCTAGGGGTACAGCACAGGCTGTGTGTGACTCACCAGGAGATGTCAGTGTAGCCAAAGATGAGAAGCAGTCTCCGCATCTCCCCACCCCCAGTACAGGGGATTGAACCCAAGGCCTTTGCACTCTGCTGCATCCTCGGTCCTTTATTTTTTTGAGACAGGGATCCTGCTAAGTTGCTAAGTTGCCCAGGCTGGGCTCAAACTTTCAATCAACTTGCCAAAGTGCTGGGATTATAGATGTGCACCACCAAGGCAGTGAGTCTTAGCTTTTAACTGGATGCTGGAGACCCTGGCCACCTACTGCCTTCACTGAAACATCTGGAAGTACCTGGCTTTGGAAGCTGGGCCTTCCTCTGACCATAGAACTCTGCCCGCTGCCCTGCCTTATAGCCCATGCTGCATTACGATACTAATGGTGCATTTCCATTCCACAGACGCTCAGTATCTCTGCGCTCAAACAGCACAGATGCCAGGCAATGGGGAGCACAGCCTGTGTTTGCCCTGCCCCTGGGCTCAACACCCTGCCATCTGGAGACACCGGGTATTGCCAACTTAACAGCAATTAACAGTACTCAACATCGGGGACAGTTCTGGTGAGCACAGCTACATCTGTTTGTTCATATCCCATCCGTGACTGCTTTCACACTAAAAGGGCAGTGCTGACAAGTTGTGACGGAGCATACACGGCCTGCAAAGCCTAAAATATTCACTCTCTGGTCCTTTTCAGAAAGTGGGCCAACTCCTGCTCTACAAACGCTAGATGTAGACATGCTTTGGGAATACTCTCTTCACAGCCCCCCAGAATCACCCGCTTGACACTGCTCCCTTCCCACGCCTTGCAGCTGAGCCTGTCCAGACAAACACAGGAGCTCAACTCCGTATCTCCATTTCGCGGGGCTTGTGCCTCGGTCCAGAGGGACTAACACAACACTACCACCCACCTGCACTGAGAACCCAGGCCAGGCATGGCATGCAGCACAGACTCGGTCAGCCCAAGTCCCGCGGCGTGCTCGCCTCTGCTCTCCAGGGTCTCGCTGCCACGGACAGGCCACTCCAAGTCACCCCAGTACTCCTCCCCTCCCGCCTTAAACCCTTTCTCTGTTTACATGTACTGTACTTGGGGAGAAGGCCCAATGTCCAGCTCACACAAATGGGATGAACAAGGCAGACTAAACAACAGCAGTGTCTGCTCAAGCCGGAATTGAAAAGCTAAGTCGTAGAGGTCCACCCGCCACTGGCACATGGTGAAATCGGTCTCTTGGCCAGGTTCCTTTCTCTACAGCACAGCGCCCCCACATGGTGCCAAAGGGAAGGACGGTCTTCCTGAAAAGCTGGCGGGGATGCCATCTGAGGTGGCTCAGCACTCACTGGGCAAGGACTTTACATCAATGTTATCCAGATTCCCAGCCTCGGCTCCTTCACAGATAGCTCCTCGCTGGAAACTTTACACCAAGAAGTATAAACTCTGACCTCTACAGAAACTCACTAAACCGCAGCAAATGGGATTCAGATGTTTCCACGTACAATACAGTGATGTGACCTAGACTTGAAACACTTTGGCAAAAATAGGAAAAATGATGTGGGCCTTTGAGTCCCTCCCAGAACATGATACAGGCTTGACCTGAGCCCTACAGTGATCAGAGCCTTGCTCACCCCTACTTAAGCGCTCCCACCCACACCCCGCATTCTCTGCCCCCTTTCCGCTTTAACACACCCCTATCCATAGTCCGTATCATTTTCCTTGTTTCGCCAAAGCTGCCAATTTCTCCTAGTCAAGCAAAAGCGGGTCACACCCTAAATTCAGAACCCTGAAAAGTCCTGAAAGGAGAATCAGGCTGATCCCAGGAAACTGCACGCCGGGCCTCTCCACCTCATATCCCCCCTTAAGCCCCCCACAGTGCTGAGGAGAAAGCAGAAGCCTCACATAAAAACCGGACCTTCAGATTTGCTGGCTTTGCTGCAATTCCCAGTAACTGTGGGTAAGGGCCAGAGAATTCGGATGGTGGTGCAAGATAAAGGGGGGGGGGAGGGGCAACGTCTTGTGCCTGGGAAGGGCAGACGCAAAATAGCATCAGAAACCGTCTGTCAGCTCTATGCAGAGTTGATTGTGACAAAAGATACAGAAACGACCCTTGCATTTCATGATTTTGGTGGATACCAGGCTTTGAGGGGGCAGCCCATCTGCTGGCCATGTGCGCTCCTAAGGGGCACCATACACAAGCTGGGAAGTGTTTGGCTGGGAATCAAGGCAGCCGGTGATCAAGTGTGAGCCCAGGCCGGGCAAAAGTACTCAACAACTCTCCCCCACCCCTCAGAGTACTCATCACAGGTTAGGGTAGAGTCTTGGGGGATGGGGAGCTCTAGGGGCCAGGGCTTAGAGAAGCACCCAGCAATCCTCAGGGATGGATGCCAAAAAAGAAAGGAAGGAGGATGCTGACAACTCTCTCCTACTTCTTACCCTTCAATTAACAGTGGGGTTACACAGGGGCCTGGGGTCCCTGCCAAGGTTTCTTTTCCAGGTATCAAGACTCAGAAGTTCCGAAGGGAGGTCAGCTCCACCACCACCACCACCCCCGGGGTAACTGAGATGCACAGGCCGAGCTGGTCCGCGTGCCGGGTGTGCACACACACCTGGCAATGCAGCATTCGCTACACCTGGGCAGAGGCGCCTCTCCGTTGGGGGCCTGACGGTTTTGCGAGCACTTCCATGGCAGACTGCAGCTCACTCCTCTATGCAAGCCCGCCTCCCCAGCCTCGGCACCCCTGGAGCTCCAACCGCTGGGGGAGGGGGCCTCTCCTCCCACTCCCTTTGCGAAAGTAGGAAGGTCGGAATGGAGGTAGGGGATGATAGAGGAGAAGTAACAGGTTCTCTTTAGACCCCTGGAGGATGGATTCCCCCCACCCCGATCCCGGACGCCCACCCTACCCCTCCGCGGGGACCACCCCGGGCGTCGCAACCGACCGGACGGGCAGACTCGGAGGGGGCGCGCGCAGTACCAGGCCGCCGGCGGCGCCGCAGGCGCTGAGCGAGACCAGAGAGCCCGGGTGACCCAGCACACGGCCCGAGTAGAAGCAGAGCTCGGCGGCGGGGCGTCCGCGGCGCCCGGTGGCGCCCGCCTCCTCCACCTGGAAGCCGCGGGACAGGAAGCGCAGGTCGCGGCGCAGCTGCAGGTACAGGTCGCGCCCGAAGGCCGGCAGGTGCAGCAG